CCACACCCTCGTCAACTATCATGCGATAGGAATCTTGAGCTCATAATCTAATTGTTAAGTGTACTCCGATGTGTTGACGCAATTAAATGTTTTCTTGGCGAAGCTTTGTATCTTGATCATTCCTTCCATGACTCATTGCCAGGTCAAATTCAGCGAGTTGACACTGGACATGTTCCGAATGCTGCAGGCCCTAGAGAGAGAACCCGAGGACGCCCCGTCACGTACCTTGGCCACTTTCACTGAAATATCTGACGATGATAGGGTGAGCAATAACTTCCAGTCTGTTTTAAAATGAAACTAATAACAGCTGAGCTGACTTGGGGAAGATTTCAAGACGCTCGTGCTCTCATTTCATGACTGCGTACTGTAATAAACACAAAAGTTACTTGTCATTTGTGGAAAATCTTCGTTGGAGTACTCGGAAGTTTTCCGTTTCTTGATCTTTCTTGTCAGCCAATCGAAAAATAACACAAACCTTTGCGAGTGTTCCAAACCATGTTACCTCGACATGACTGTATGTTGATTAGCAACCACTTTGCCGTAAATCGCGCACTCATTCAATCTTGAGTACATGGTCCCGCACTTAGAAATGTCGTCATTCTTATAACTGTCAAGACTACGCCTGAAACTGTCAAAATTGTGTGTCATTGAATCTTGAGGACACTTAGAAATGTCGTCATTCTAGGCCAGAAACTGTTAAAGTTGTGTCTCAGCTCAGATAGTTCTCTCCTTTTTTTTTAGGAGACCAACGAGATCGAGCGGGCGTCATCCAAGAGACCGAATCCTCATAAATACCTTTTGTATAAGCCAACGTTATCCCAGCTGCACGTGTTTCTGGCCTGCGGTGTTAAGGTTTGCATCCTTTTCACTTTATTGCGGGCAAAATACGTTTCATTGCCTCGTTATTTATTTGCTAGACGAGTTCAGTCTAGTAAACGATTTCAACCAAGTCGTTATTCTTTCTTAACTGAATACTATGCCAAAGTTAGGTCTGGATTATATATATTTAGCAAAGAATGGCTAGACTAGACTAAATCGTCTTCTCACAGAATGGTGTCGCCGATAACCCTGGTCTAAAAGAAGTTTAAGGGTGTCAACTGAAGTTATCTCACGTAAATTTCATTCACTTGTTCATGTTCATTTATGTTAAACTGAACCCAATACAAGAAAAGAAATTGACGATGTTTATTCCGGATCATAGTTGTGTTTACAGTTACGCGAAGGAATCAGAAAGGAGTATGTTGTAAACTGCTGTTCTTGTTTCAGGAACTTCCTAACAGTGGCGTTATGTTGGTGTATGTGTCTGGTGATGGTTGTCCTGGAAACGCAAAGGCTGGAGAAGAAGGTACATGGACACCGAAGAACAATCATGACTGACGATTGCGCCGCATAGAATTCTCGTAATTTCTTTGTTTAACAATGCTTTGTTTGTCTCCGTAGGTCCGTACGAGCAAGGAGGAGTTGCTATGAATCATAAAAAGGCGGGAAACGAAGAGGCCGCGAGGCGCCCGAGGACTAACCTGAAGGATGTACACTGGTACGTTGCTTTTGTACTGTGTCTTTGACACAAAACAGTTTTACAAGTTTTTCTTCCGTACTGCACTCCCTTCAAGAAACAACGGCCCAGCCGGTCTATATATTTAGGAAGCAGGCGAAAATATTTCGTTATCAGTTGTTAAACTATCGCTTCCACACCGGAGGAGAAGTGCCAGAGGAGGTCCTTGTATCTTGTTTCTGTACCTCACAGCAAAACAATTTATAAAGGAAACTGCTGTTTGTGTAATCTCAGCTGAGATTGTAGTGATGAAGAAAGTGCAGTCTAATTTTGTTTAATATCCCTTTGTTTTAGTCTGTACCCAGAGGACCTTGTGCCCTTCAGTAGGAAGCCACTGATGATAATAGTGGATAGCTCAAACAGTCATGTTTTTAAGGTGAGTTTTACTTATCTTTTCATTATCTTCCGTTACTGGTTGGGAGAACTTGGTCTAGGAATAATGATTATTTTGTATCGTTTGGCTATATCAAAACCACGCTAAAAACGCAAAATAAGTAAGCGTCGGGGCGTGAAATGCGAGCCGCGAGTAGCGCGCGCGTCGGAAGACGAGTTACGCTACTTGCGACTCTCGTCTCTGCATGTTACGCTCGCACGCTCGCAACCGCTCGCTTGTGTTGCTTTCTTCTTTGCGTTCTTCCCCACGGATTTTCGAGCAAAAAAGAGACTGCTCACAGTCTATTTCGCGCCATGTTACTGCCACTTTCAAAATAAAAAAAAGTCCTTAGTTCTGGTCCGCTACTGTGATCACTTTTTTGTCATCAAAAACTTCTTCATTTTTCTTTCCAGTACTTTCCAAGTTTGTTTGGGCAACCGCTAATCTGTTTGATGTCACCTGTCACTGTTCCTACCACCATGCAAGGTAAATAAAATTGTTATGCCACTCAACCACTCTAAGTATCATGCAATGCTCCTTACTGGAAAAAAGGGGACAAAATAGCTGCTACCATAAGGGTTAGACTTTTCTTTAAATCAATTATTGCCTCGTTGAAAGGTACTGCTCAATAGCTTTCATTTAAATAGTCACACACTGGCGTTTAATCCCAGACTTTTATTTGAATGGTCACACTGTAGGTTTTTAGCTGATCGCGTTGCGTGCTTTTGGTGACTGATCTTCTAGCTGAGGGCTTGAAGCTTGCTTTTGGGGTTGGGAGTTTCAGCAAGGGATTAGTTGCAGTTAGAAAATTTCTATCTACTCGTGTTATGGCCTTTTTGCTACCACAGATTATCTCTTGCATTCAAATCTTGCAGAGCAAAGTCGAAAGGGAAGTCTCTTCTCGTTATTTCTCTTCAATCCGCTGGTGGCCTTCTGTTACGTCTGCAGTATTGCCGACCTTCGTAGCGACTTGTGGGATAGCTGTCAGCGGCAAGTTCGACGAATAATGAACGACAGTCTCCGAGTATTTTACGACTGGTCTCGATATGTTGGTGAGTGACGAGGCGCGTGAATGCTGCCATCGCCTGTAACGACCTGTAACTAGTTGAGAGTTATGGATTGAGAAAGTGCGCAGTGCACAAAAGATCTCAGCGTATCTCTTCTGGTGGATTATGAAACATAATTTCCTCTCAATCTTCTTGTTGTTTTCTTTTGGCAGATGTTGTTTTTATTCAGCTTCTCGATGACGAGTTTCTTCGTCTAATGATTCTTCGTTATATCTTCTGTTTCTATACCATGCATCTTCATCGGGCATTTAAGGTACTGTCAACCTCAAAGTCACACTCCTTGGTTGAAATGTTTATCATAATTTAACTGTAACCCACAATTAAGAACCCGCTTGATCTTGTCTGGCTAAACAGGTTCGTATATTTTTGAGTATTAAAATGGCAAATTTCAGCCATCAGGTTCTCAAACCACTAGTTTCTTACATGCGGGTTTTACTGTATTGGACGTCTCTCTCACAAAATATAAGAAGAGTGTTAGAAGAAAGTTGTTTCTATTTTGAGGCCTAAAGGCAATTGGTGCAAAGAGGATAAACACCAAGACAACAATATGTATAATTGATAATGCAACTGCACGGTCACCGCTATGATCGTTTTCGGATGTTTTTCAGACCTCTGATTTTCTTTCAGGGTTCCGACTACTATCCGAAAAGCTTCCCTAAACTTCCAGCCGCAGAAATTCTTCTCAACGGCAGCGTAGAAAAACAAGTTCTTGAACTAGCCTCCATGTTGGACGTACGAAGTCTGTTTTACGAGATCGGAGAAGGACCTCCAACGGATTAAGAATTATCGTGCACGAACAAGCGTGTTGACAAACGCTATGGACGAGGGAATGATCCACAATGCGCAAAATGTTGGCAACGAATTTCTTCTGCACTGGAGGCAGAGGTAACAATGTGTGGGAAGGGTTTGGAGGCAGGCGATGTTGCGGTCAACTATCGCTCTGTATTGTTCAGGGGGGAAAAGGCTTTTCTAGAGAGTGCATCATGGGAAGGAGTGTTAGAGAAAACTCAGGCTGGAACAGAGCTTGAATCCCAAAACAGAGACAGACTGCTAATTGTCCTCAAATCTCAATGAAACAGTTTTTTTGTACAAAGAGTAGATTGATTAGCGGGGAAAATTTCAGGGGACTTCACATCATCCACTTAACGACAAACCAAAGAAACAGAGGCTTTGGTAATTTGATTATTTTGGGTTTAATATAGGATAAATATACGGTTCGCATTTATCATCTTATTGTCATTACCTCAGATACAGACGTGGACATTTTTGTAGTCAGTGGTCATGAAGTTTTTTTATATCAGTCTTGAATAGGAGCTGGGCTTCTAAGAAAAATAAATTTTGTATATTACCTTGAAAATATTTGGAAGACAGTCACGCGTACTGCGAACACGTGAAATAAGTGAAATGATATTCGTAGTGTGCAAGCATTTTAGGTTAACACTACAACCTGAAAAAGAATCACTACGTTGTAGCCTTGAATTTCTGTCACGCTATAAAAGCCATAGTCACTCTTTGGGTTCGTCACACAAGGCGTTCCTTCCCTCGTCGGGTGGAAAGATTGCGTGACGAGGCCAAAAAGTGTCTGCGTGGGAGACTAAAAAAGCCATTACTTATAATAAGTTGCTTGCCTTCATTTAGTTCAATATTGTATATTCGCATACGCCAATCTGAAATAAAATTTTATTTTTGATTATTTACTTTGCTGTGTTTGCTCTTGTCTTACGTACCGTGCTTCTGCAGCTCGGTTACATGCGCCTTTCCACCTTGAACGGAATTGTCCAAGAATAATACCTATGTCTATGTTACAGGTGTTCAGAGCTATATGGTAAATTCCTGTTCAATGACAAATTACTAACGGAAACAAGCTTGCGTTCATTAGTCTGACCAGACTGACCGGATTCCACTGTGAATAGAAACCAACCGATGACGAGCAGCTGGACGAGTATCCGGTCAAACAAGTCCATTTGAGGCCAGAACTGCTAAATTTACTCTTAATGTGTTTTCAATATAGTATCGGCTATCTGAGTTACCTTTTTCTTTGCTATTTAAACTTTTTCTACCAGTTTTGATTAAATTTATGTGTTAACATCACAGCCGAGGGTGGATCCCTCTACTAATTGGGGACGCCTAAATCTACTTGCAACAATATATCGGTCGGATTCTATCACAATTGAATTATAACCGTAATTGTCATTCCTTACATTTTGATCCCATGGTTGTTTATTTTTGTTATGACGTCGATTGCTAGAGTTCTTTTAGTTGTAATATAGATATTTTAAAATTACAATGGTATTATTTTGACACTCGCCCCAATTAGCGGTATGAACAAGAGAAAATGGAAATAATAATTGCTTGCTGAGAAGCACATGACGTCGTCACGAAAGATCAGATACAGAAGAACAACTAATTGTCGATTTCCCAGTTGCCCAATTTCTTGATATATCGCGTTCGCCTTTTGTGACAGCTGCCGTTTAATTAGCAAATTGACGTCAGTTTTTTTATGCGTCTGTCCTCTTATTGATGATGAATTACGTCATAACATGGTCAAAGTGGCTGTGGAACCACGAGCCGCAGGCGAGTGGTTCCGCAGTAATTATGTAATTATGCGTCTGTCCTCTAATTGATGATAAATTGCGTCATAACATTGTCAAAGTGGCTGTGGAATCACGAGCCGCAGGCGAGAGGTTCCGCAGTAAACTTTGACATTGTTATGACGCAATTTGTCATCAATAAGAGGACAGACGCATAAAAAACTGACGTCAATTTGTTTTTACAATAACAAGACCCCAAAATGGTCAAATGTCGGGAATAAAAGAGAGAAAAGACGCCGTAAACTTGTCGTGAACAAAGCTAAGTGAATTTTATTCAAAATGACGCGAACATCGTAAACAGCTTTTCTCGCTTTTTGATTGGCTTCTTAAAAAAGTCCATAAAATCGCATTGGTTAAAAAGTTGACAGTTTGACAGCTGAAAGTTGAAATTGAAAGCTTGCATAAATTAAAATTTTATCCGTCTGTACTCTTATTGATGATAAAAATGAGCCACTCAGCGCGCGAGAAATTAGACAGTTATTGTAAAATTACCAATGGACGTACAAAGCTTGAGAGACATCGCCATCAATGAATTAAAGTCACCATGTCTTCTACTGGAGAAGAAGTGCCGTGAAAACGCTGAATCAAAAGAGAGCGAAAGTTCTTGTCCACAAACCAGCCGTCTTGAGCTTTTCTTGTGCGAAAATGGCCTTTTATCAGTGCAGTCGCAAAGCCAAAATGCTATGAAGAAATCATGGTCACCACGTTTTCTTCGAAAGGGGAAATGTCATGACAATCCTGATTTAAAAGGTAGCGAAAGTTCCTCTAAACAAGCCATCAATCCTGAGATATCGATTGGCCAGTACGAGAATGGCCATTTATTAGCGCAGGCACAAAGCCAGAATGTTATGAAGAAATCATGGTCACCACGTTTTCTTCGGAAGCGGAAAACCCATGAAAACCCTGAATTAAAAGAGAAGTAGAGCGGAAATGCTGTGAGGAAATCATTACGTTTTCTACGGAAAGAGAAAGGCCACGAGGAAGGTGAATCAACAGAGAGGTCGACAGTTTCCACTGGCAAACAGGGCCGCGTTGGCACTGGAAATTCTATAGCATCGCTTGGTAGTAAAAACCAAAGAAAGAGTGCTATTTGTGCCGCGTTGATACCTACCAAGTATTTTCAGTCTGTTCCATATCCTAGGCTGTTGAGTGTGCTGTCAGGTACAGATCTTGTTTAAATATAACATGTCTGGCCAGGCCGTCTTACATTATAAAGATGTTATGTTGTAAATCTGTGCTCTGTCAAGTATTTTTAAAACACCAAGGAATATACGTCCTACTGCTTTTTGTACCTTAAGACTGTTGTATTTTGCCGGCTGTTAATACTATGAAATGTTCATTAAAGGGTAACCCTTTCAAATATCTTTCATAGACGATGGTACCCACACCTACAGTGGGCACTCTGCATCCCTTTGCTTTGAAAGGGCCTTGCAAAAATGTAAAAGGAAGTTTTACCCTTTCTATCAGGCATCCAGCCTGAAAAAGGAGAGAAATGTCATAATGGTAAACAACCTCGTACCCTGGGTCTTCGTTACCCTTGAAGTGCGCGACCTTCCAAAGCTCCGTCTATCGACCTTCCGGTTGAATTGCGCATGCCTTGCTAACAAACGCATGGCTCAGTGGGGTCTTTGGTGTTTAACTTCTGTTCATTTTCATTGGTTTTAAAACAGTCCAAGTCGAACCTAAAGGGAACCCTCCAGAATCGCTTGATTCGTCAAGTCGTTTCAAGCTTGCGAAGAGATTGAATGAAAAATAGTTGTTCGAAAATTCACTGTTACTTTAAAAATAAATCAACTTTGACAGAAAAACAGTTTTAAATCACATCAAGTAAAGCTAGAATCACAGCCAGAGACTCTCTCAAAATGTACCATGAATGAACAAAAACTTTCCTTAAATTCAATCTTTGGGGGGCAAACAGTGAATTGTGGGGAATTGGAAAATTGAGAATTGCAATTGGGTGCTGTTTTACTGCACACTCTTGCACAAGATCTCATCTTTCTGTATTTCAATGGGTTAAGAACGTGTAAAATCAAATATCATTTGACGTCATGTTAATATAATTCTCTTAACACTCGTTATTTTTCACATCTCGTGCATTGATATGTGGTGACTCTAACTTGTCCGGACCTAGCGTGCTATAAAATCAAATGGAACCACGAGGGAAATCAAAACGTCCATTATATCTTCCTCCTCTGTCGCTTTCTCCATATTTTCAGCGGAAGTCTACGGCTGGGCGACAGAAACGAAATCAGAAAGAAATAAATTAAATAAGAGTTTCACAGCCCTGATGAAGGAGCCAAATAAACAAAGACGAAACGGTATCTGTGTAATGCTAATGCCTGCCGAGGATTTAGCTGCCCTTCCTCACCTCGAATTGTTACATGTCAGACACGAGTTTGGGCTCTGAAAGATTGGAACTGATTTTGCTGCGTGCAAGGATATAGGAAGGATATAGTACTCGCCAACCGACTAAAACGTTCATCGAATCAAATGGAAATGTTGCGTAACCTTCGAACCTCTGCATATTTTAAATTTTGTAACTTTTTGTGTGTGTGTGTGTCTAGCATTGGTGCAGCGAAGAATGCTTTAGAAAAATGTAGCTAGTATTTCAGTGTAAAAAAATTCACTTTTCTTTAATTAAATATTAAATGTGTATTTGCGAGAGTTTTCTTCTTGTAACGTCACTTGATCGAAATTGTTCAGCGCAATTATTTCATCCAGTTACGCTAATATTGTGCTCGCACAATGTAAATCAACTTTTTCTTGGGAAACGTGAAGAACTAATCAAATGTTGAATAAAAGTTCCATTGATGGAAGTATCGACAGTTATGCAATTAGTTTACTTTTATATAAGTACTGGTTATGCCATACTTTCGGGTAGTATACCATTCAATATCCCACAAGTTGCTCGTATTTTCTCGGTACGCCACACGAGCCTTTGTCTCAAGATCTTCTTGATCAGTTAACAGTGTTATTTTTGTTCAGATCTTCATTTTCTGCTGCGTTTTCGACCTCGAAATTAAAGTCGAGGGAAAAATTCAACGTTGACATGGTTCAACTGGATACTTGAAAGAAATTGGAAATAGCGCCGCGTGTCTTGTCTCGCGTCTTAGTTTTCCAGCCGAAGGAACAAAGAACTCTCTAAATCTTTACCATGAACGAACTACAACTTAATTTTTTTTTTGCCCGCCATGACTGCATGAATGATTTCCAGTCTTACTGACCCATGTTCAAATGCAGCTCACAAAGAGTTTCCCTTTTTCGACTGCTGGTCAGGACAACTTATGATTTCCTTTAATTACCAAGACTGTGCCCTATTTGGTGCCCTCAAATTTAGCCAGCAACATCTTTTTCCTAGTGTCTTGAGTTAACAAGTAGAAAATTTGTTAGGATTCAAGTGGTATGGAC